TGTGCTCCTTTCACCCCCCAAAGTGGGGAACGTTCCGTGGGAAAGTTTGGGTAGGTTTGTTGGTAACAAGACTAATCCTAAAAACTTCAGTATTCATTAGATTTCCAAACATTTTCAGAGACCTTTGTCTCTTCTGGTGCCCTCAGTCCATCCATACACGTGGGTTTAACAGTAGATTAAGGTATTTAATCACCTTGTGTATGCTTCTGTCCCAGTTTCTTCCAGAATAAGATCAAAAGAAAAAGAATTTCTTAATTCTGTGTTTTCATGGAGGTTGGGGTTGGGGGGAATTAGGGTAAACTCGGTACTTATTAGGGTTAGGATTAGGTTTTGGGTGGGACAAAGGGAAAGTTCTATGAGTGAGAAAAGAGTGAGACAGTCTGATACTGTGTTACAGTGGCCACAAGCGTCCTAGTCTTGTTGGACACCAGTATCCTATATCATTGGTTCTTGGCGGAAGGCTTGTTAAAGCACAGATTGCGGGGCCCAACCCCAGAGTTTCTGTTTCATTAGGTCTGGGGTGGGGATTAATCATCTGCAGGTCCCAGGTGATGCTAATACTGTTATTCTATATAAAAAAATCTGTATTATAACTTCTGGCCGTTGTCACTCTAAGACTGAGAACTCCAGTACTTTTAATCTTTTGTTATATACTTGATTTTCTCATTCTCAGTTATCCTGCCTTCAGGTTTCTTTTCATATTCTTCACCTTTCAGATTCTAGAGAAAAGATTATTGGTGCTTACATACTTTAGTCTCTTTGTGTAACTGAAATATCTTTGTAACCTAATTATTTCACTTGTGGAACACTCTGTCCTGTCCTGATAACTCACAACGCATCATTACTTCATAATGCACATGTTTTTATCTCTTGTTTAACTGAGATTTTGTTGTTGTTCTATTGGTTTTGACCAGTATTTCAATTTATTTTGCTCAGTTTAAATAATTATTTCTTCTGCTGATGTGACGTCATATGCTATGTCATATAAATTAAATTTCTTTATAATATTTACTGATGAACTTATGCCATGTGATGCTACAGGGACATCATGACTCCTGGCATTAATTCCTTCTAAATATCATTTCTTTTCCTCTAAGTTAGTGATGTACCATTAATAACTAGGACCCTTCAGCTAGGTGGACTCCTTGTTCTAATATAATTTTCTCCATATTCCTACTTTTTTAGTTATATATTCAACATTCCATGGATTCAAAAGCATCGTTTGCTTTATTTCATAGAAAAAAAATTATTCGAATGACAGGGTTTATTCAAACCTTAAAGCAAAAGCCTAATAAGTTTTATCTATATCTCTTTATGATGTGTTGTTGTCTACATAATTCAGCTTGAATTTGTTGGGTGCCTATTAAGTACTATGTTAGAAAAAAATGGAGAAACCTAAATTATAGCAGGGGGGTATAAAATAGTAAGAAAAGTACATAAGTGATGACAATATAATGTTCAGTATAAACATCAATAATAGGATAGCACGTGCTACGAGGATTTAGAACAAATATCATTTAGTTAAGAAAATTAGGAAAGGTTTGGAAAGATGGCTGAAATGGACCTTTAAAATACAAACATTTCTATTGATGGGAAAAGGAATAGCATAAAAGTAGTTCATAGATCCAGGATAATATAATCAACTCAGGAGGCACTCTATAAAGGAATAATGTTTTGAAGAGATTTCAGGGAGGTAAAATTTCTCAAAACTTTGGGCCCAAGTTGTCAGTATCTGTCTGCCTACCTGCCCCTCCTTCCCTCCCCCACTCTCTTCCCTTCCCCTCCCTCCCTCCATCCCTCCTTTTCTCCCTCTCCTCCTCCCCCCCCTCCCTCTCCATTGTTTATTTGTTTGCTTGTTTTGATGGGTAGAGTAGGAAAAGGCCATAGGAGATATATAGATAACACTGCAGGAAGAAAAAAAATCTTGAGGAAAATGAAACACTGATATAATCATTATTAAACATTTCTTAATAATATTTTCTAGTAATTGAACAATTGTCTTATGTTTCACATATATTATGTATTCTGTAAAACAACCCTCTAAGGTAATTTTTTTAAAGACATTTAAAAATGAGGGAACTAAGGCTCAGAGAAGTTAAAAAATTTGCCCAGCATCACACAATAAAGCCTAAGTTAGGATTTAATTCCATTCTTTTAGGTTACAAAGCAGTTTTATAATTAGGATGTCTAGCAAAATTGCTGTTAGAAATGTGAAAGTTGATGTGTATGGGGATGGGGTGAGGATAAAAAACTTGTTTTGTTTTCCTTTGTGTATATTTTAAAAGTCGACTGATAGAATCTTCAGAGAATTAATGTTGCCTCAATACTCTTCTTTTCCTTCTTAAGAAAGAAGCCCTGGAGGTAGTTTTAAGATTTATTGTTTTTCTAGAAGGAATACGTTATCTGAGTTTTTTGTTTGTTTGTTTTGTTTTGTTTTTCCCCAAAAATTTTTTTGAAGATTATGGCCATGCCATTTTTAATTGAATAGCCACAAAGGGCATTAAGGAAAGTTTTTGAGTTGTCCAGAAATATCAAAAGTTGGAACAAAATAACTTAAACTAAACTGAATTGTTTGGATAACTTCTTAAAATTCCAGTTTCAAGAACCATGCTTTATTTCCTTTCGAAGATTCCTGGCTATATATCTATAAAGCATGATTTGATAGTATTGCTTTCTAAAAGTTATACAAACCATATATATAATTCATTGTCTTTTTCAATGTCTCATTTTCCTAAACTTTATGAAATGTACATATCTGGTAGACCTTTAATAGAATAATTTTGAAATCGTTTTATGTGTTTGGATTTCGAAAACTTGAACAGCTAAATGAAATAATTTTTGAGATCCAATGAGAGCAAGTTGACAGTGTGAAACATCTTCAAGTATTTTTAAAAGAATTGTAGAATTGTGAGTTCAGCTTTGGAAATGATCTGTTACCAAATGCAGTTTTTGAAACTTGAACAGTTATTTGAAAATAATTATTGTAACTTTATATATGTGACATTTTGCTTAGTTTTATAAAAATGAGAGATGCAGCGGTTTTATTTTGGAAGAGAGTCATCTTCTGAAACAGCAGCCTCCGCTTTTCATTAGAAACCTTTACTATGCATTTACAAGTTAACGTTCTACTCATAATTTCTAGTTTTGTAGAAGAGTTTATTTCTAATGTTACATTATACTATAACAAACCTGTTATTTTACAGTTGGCCTTGGCAGAATTATACGAAGATGAAGTGAAATGCAAATCTTCTAAACCTGATAGACCTGACGTCACAGTCTTTAAAAGCCCGCGAACACCACCTCAAAGGTAAGTTTTGTCTTGTTTTCATCTTGTTTTTGAAAATTATATCCATTTTTAGTTCACTAATACCAAATTATTTTAAATGGCCTTGGAAATTTTTTAAAAATCTACAATTTCTTAATATTATTTAGGTACTGTTCCTAAAACCATAATAGCCAAAAAGCTAGGAGAAACTAATGAAAACATTATTTTAAACACCTAATATTTTGGTAGACTTCATAGAATTATATACTGAGCATTGCTTTTCCTCAGCACAATGGTTCCTTCTTGAATGAAAGCTACAGCCCCTCTCCCTCTAAAACAGCATTTATACACAATTTTGTCAATCATTTTTAAGGGTTTGTGTGTTTCTTAACACCTATCCATGGAGCACCTGTGTGTCTTTTATCTGTCATTTAAGACTGTAATTTCAGGAATCTGTTTTTGCTTCCGCTGGATGGTGACCTATCTCATAAGTGACCTCTAGACAGTATTTCCTATCATTAAAATCCCGGAACTATAAAAAGAACCAACCGTGAAGATTTAAGAGATGAGAGCCAGGCATATTATGAGTTTTCTTGTTTCTAGGAATATTTTTCATTAACGTATTTTTTAGTACTGCAGATATCATTACTGGGGAGAAACTTGAATTTTCCCATTATATCTCATTCTTAGAAAGTCTGTTATTTACCAAAAGCTGAAAACTTCACTGGAAATTATGTTTTGTTTTTTTTCCCTGCTTGTCACTACTCGACATCCTTTTTATTTTTTTTTTTCCGTATGGGAGATAAAAATGACATATCTTTCTGGACCTGAAAGAGAAGAAAAAATATTTATAATTTTTTCCCCAAATTTTTATTTTACAAATTTTCAAACCTGTAAATAATCCGAAAAAGATTCGTACAGTGAATATGTGCTGTATGTGCTTCAGCTGTGTTCACCAGCAGTTAACATGCGACAGCATCACATCCATGCAAGCTCTCTCTTTTACTCAACTGCTTGAATGTAAATCACAGTCATCGTTAACATGTCGCCCCCACATACTTCAGTGTGTAGCTCCGAATAAGAAGCACACATGCCTTTTTAACTTTGATAACACGTCACACCATAGAAAATGAAAATTTTATAAAATCATTTTGCATAACTATCTATAGTTAGGTATCTCTTAGAGCCTTTTTTGGATTTAAGATCTAGCCAAGGGCCATGCATTCCTTTTTGATTGTGCCTGTTTTGAATCTGAATCCAGAGCATTTGCCCCACCTTTTTGTTAAGCTTGGTTTTCGCTCATCTGTATAATCTAAAATGTATTACGGTGACTTTTTTGAAGAGTCAAGGCCAGATGTATTGTCAAATATCCCACATTCAAGGTCATTGTTTCCTCATGATTAGATTCCTGTTAAACACATTTGCTGAGTACTAGTAATCGATGTTGTCTGCTCTATACTATGTCACATCGGGAGCCACATAATTGCAGGTTTTCTCACTGTTGGTGACATGTTCACTTGCTTAAGGTGCTGACCACCACATCGCTCCACTGTAAGGTGCAGATTTTCCTTTGTAATCTGTAGGTTGGTATCTTGACGCTGTTTGAATATCCTATTCTTTCACTTAATTTTATTTCACATATATGTGTATACATACATATGTATGTATAATATCTAATATATTACTGCTTCTTTAATTTATACATTCTCCAAAGTTTTGAAAATACTTAAAATATTTATATACCAAAGGTTTACTCATTAACTATTTGGCTGTTGTTTCCCCATTTTGAGCCTATTTTAAATGACTTAATTTGTTCATGGTATAACAAATCAAAATATTTGACTAAATTGACTTCTTATAATTAGATTAGTATATTAATATTTTTCTTGCTATTCAAGTATAAGTATTCAGGTATTTTAATGAATAGTTTTTTTTCTCTTTTATGTTATCTGAAACCATGTTGCCATTAGTAGTTGTAATTTGATAAGGCAATTTTTAAGGACATTGTGCCTCAGATTCGATCTCTACAGTTATTTACGTATGCAAAAGGAGGAGCTGCTGTAAATGATACTTGTTGAGACTTAAGCTTTGTTTAATCTGTTTAAAATACAATGTGAAACAAATTATTGCAATTTTTTTTTTTTTGCCGAGTATGATATTTTCTAATTCAAAGTATACAGTTCTTTTGGTTTCAGATTCAGTATTGACATTTACCCAGTTTCATTACATGTCTAATGCTTTGTCTGGTACAGAAAACGGTGCTTATGTCCATGGTCTACCTTCTTGGACAGTATTAGGTATCAAAACATTTATCTGCTCATTGTCTTTTAAGCTAATATATTTCTACTCTCTGAAACTCTAGACATAAAATCATCTCTCTTTATTTACAAAAGGAAGAATAGAATCTATAGAAAAACTTTCAGAATATAGCCTGACACCTGCTTTAACATATTCATCTACAAAAAGTTATATATCACAAATAGAGCTTTTAAAAAACTTGAATATCCTTGTTCAAAAATGTGAGAACTTAAAAAGATATCCTCTACAAGTCATTAGATAATGGTGTTTTAAGAATTAAACGAGATAAAATGTGTAAGATGTCTAGCACAATGTTGGTACTTAGTTGGGCCTTAAAAGATTATTACGATGTAGATGAGCATAGAAGACAAGAGACAGAATTCTAGGAACAAATGGGCACAGAGGAAAAATAATAAAAATAATGAGGCATTAGAAAAGGATCGGCAGAACTTTAATAGACTGTCCAAATAAGGTCAGATAGGTGGAGTACTGCCAGGGCGTGCTTCGTGGACATGTGACCAGTGCAGTCACAGATGCCATGCTTAGAAGGGCCTCATGCTTTGTTGTTATTGTCTTAAAATTCTTAATAAATTTTGAACAAGGAGACACATTCTCTTTTGGCACTGGACCGCACAAATGTGCCAATCCTGGACACAGGCACATTGTGGAGCCTCGAAAGCCAGGAGAATTGCACTTGTATAGAAGGCAGCGGAAAGCCAGTATATGTTTTTCTAATGGAAATTTTGTGATAACTAAAATACAATAAAAGTTTTGATTCTAGAGATAGGCACCCCTTGGTTATATATATTTCTTCTGTGTTCTAATAAGGTTTTGCCAGTGGACAAGTTTTTGAAATTCTCTAAGCTTCACTTTTATCTGTAAAACGGGTATAGTACTATTGTTTTGAGAATTAAATGGGCACATTATTTTCTCTTTGTAATATTAGCTGTTATTATCATATACTTTTAGGAAAATAGGACTGGCAGTACAATATAAAATGAACTGTAATGGGGAGACCAGGATAAGGGGACAAAGAAAGGAAGAAGAAAACAGCGGTGGAATCTAAGGAATGTAAACTTTCAGATTAGGGTGGCATCAGTGGAGGAGAAAGGGTGAAGTCGACCTGGGAGCCTTTCAAAAAATTTATTATAGAAACTAGGTGACAGGAGTTATAGGGAGTAAGTGAACGGGAAAGAGAAATCTTAAAGGTTCTTATTCGGGGATACAGGAAAAAAATGTGATTTTTAATGGGAAGATAAGTTTAGTTTTAGAGAGATGAACTTGATTCAAGTAGGGCTTTTAAATTCAGCACTGGAGAGTAAGTAAGAGGATGCTAAAAACATATGAGAGTCGTCTGTATAGGGGAGTTTGTTATTCAGAGGAGCTGAGAAATATTTTGATGATCAGATGAGTTTAAAGACGATAAGAGTCAAAGATATAGGCATGCTTAATCATGAAAGAGGAGAAATGGATGGATTGTAGATCTAAATATAAAGGGAAAACAGTAAAACTTCTAGAAGAAAATATAGTTTCTTCATGACCTAGAAGTAGGCAAGGATTTCATAAACGGGTAATAAAAAGCATAACTTTAAAGAAGCTAGTAAATCTTTTCCTATGTCTGGTTTCCCACCAAGGTCTTTTCTCACCAAGACTGAGATTAAAAGGAACTATATAGTTATATTTTGCCAGATTAGAGACATGGGACAGGGAACAAAAAAGCTATAACAAGAGACAGCTACAATGGGAAGCTTTTTTCTTTCTTTCTTTTCTTTTTCTCTTTTCTTTGATTCCCCGCCCCTCCTTTCTCATTTCCTTTCCCTTTCCCTTCTTTCCTTCTCCTATGTACTTACAATCATCTGCTGTACTTACAATCATCTCCTTCTACCACTAACACTTAAGAACCAGCAGCGTTCAGCCTTGCCTGCTGCGCGGGCTCTGAGTATAAGCTTGGCGGGAAGGCTTCTTCCATTGGCTCCTGTTCTGAGGAGACTCAGGCCCCAGTGTACTGCCCCAGAGCACTTGAGAGTGGAGGCTGCCCCACATCCACTTCCACCCCGCCTCAGCTGTTCCGAGCCAGCCGACAAAGTAATTCAGGGTACCTGAGAGGGGGAGCGGGGACTGAGGAAAAGAAAGAAGACAGTCAGAAGTGCAGGAGGGAGCACAGATTCCGGACTGTGTCCCCGAGTTTATTTACAACACACTACTTATAGCATCGCAATGAGAAAACAGCAGTCAAGACCCAAGGTCAGCCAAATTACTTATCCTGCAAAACAATGAAGTTCTCACAACTCAGAACTCTCTGCTAAACTGTAGCAAAGAATTTGCAGTGATTGCTATGTGAACAGTTGCAAGCTTACAGAATTCAAGATAAAACATCCTTGTTTCTGTCTTCTCGAACCAGTCAAGGAAGGTTCAACATCCTCCTTTAAGTACAACTGGTTTTTAACCCCTGACATTCTGCAGCAGTTCTGGCTGCGGCTCCCCACACTTGTGTTAGGGGGTTCTGCTTCCTGGTAGCCACTTGTTCTCCAGGTGGAATTTTCTTTCATTTACAGTGAATTGAGAGCTGGTCTGCCCTTTCCTCTTTCTGTTCAGTTTTGCATTAACTAATTTTGGACAGAGTGTTGAAGGTGACCTCTCTTTTTAGTCTCCAATGCTGATGTAATTTGCCCCCTTTGTTTTGTTTTATGAATCAGTTCAGTGCAAATTTAAAACTGAATTAGAGGGTATGGGTAAACACTTGCTCTGATTGTCATCTTACACTGGAAGGCCCCATGTTGATATTTTAACGCTTGTATGTCCTGTTGTTAGTCTTGATTGAAAAAAATCTTAAAAGATAAAATAAGATACTAATTTCATGTAACGGTAATTTTTATGTTTCTGCGGATCATTTTGAAGTTGGAGTCAGAGTAGAAATCAGTTACTACATATGTAATACACTGAAACATTTATAGTCTAAATTATTTACCTTAAACACAGGGGTTATAATTTTTCAGTCCAAAAATCCCTGAGGAGTAGACCTGTTCTGTGTAGCCCTGTGGTCCAGATGTAGATGTTCACACTAAATTAGAAGCCTCTTCACTAACTAGGTGCCTGCTGAGTGTGGATTCCTCAGAAGAGAACTTAGCCTCTGGTTGTCAGCACTGCTTCTCCCCCACTCCCCTCGACCCCATCCCCAACCCCCAACACACACCAAAAGCGCTTAAGTTGTGAAAGAGATGCATTTAATAAGCAACTGCAGAGAGTGAGAGAGGAAGAAACGAGTCAGTTCTCAGGCCAGATGCTGAACTTACTACAAGAATCTCCGCAAACTCCATGAGAAACTATATGAACTATTCACTATTTAATTCCTTCATCCACGGAAGGCATTTAAAAAATTATTTTTTAAATAAAACTTATTTCCTAAAGCTGTGGCTTTTTACTTTAAAGTAGTTTATGTCTGTATTATAAGTTTTTATTCATGAACTATGATGTTTAAAGGTTCTGCTCAAGGGAACGTGAATACAGTGGATTACATATAGTTCGACCTTCAACTGGGAAAATTGTGAATGAACTTTTCAAAGAGGCAAGGGAACATGGGGCTGTCCCTCTGAATGAAGCCACAAGAGCTTCAGGTGATGACAAATCTAAGGTAAATGCTCAATTTTAAAACTAAATATGCTATTTATATATTTGATCTTCTCTGTAGTTTTTTTATATTATTCCTTTTCTAACTATATATATATATTTTTTTTTTTTTCTTTTTGCCCAGGAACTTTTTTTTAATTTAAATTAGTTTCAAGTATACAGTACATTGGTTAGACATCTAACTGTATATTTTTGTTTAAAATATTTTATTCATTTTCATAACATTATAATCTTTCTATTAATGATTGAAAGTCGAGGCAGTTTCTTACATTTCTATGCAACTTCTCTACTTACCTTTTTATTTTGAAATAATTATAGACTCAAGAGAATTTGCAAAAAGTATACAGAGGGGTGCGGTGTACCTTTCACCCAGTTTCCCCCATTTCCCTAATAGCTAGTGATGTTATTTGTATTTTTCTAATGGCCTGTATTGTTGAACATCTTTTCATGTGCTTTTTTGCTATTATTTTTATTATCCTCTTCAGTAAAATGTCTCCTCATGATTTTTGCCTATTTTCAAATAGATTGTTTCGTTATAAACAAAAGTGAAAGTTCTTTATATATTTTAATAGATATGGGTTCTTCGTCAGGTACATGGTTTGTAAATATTTCTTCTTAGACTGTAGCTTGTCTTTTTAGTCTCTTACCAGGGTTTTTCATAGAGCAAAAGTTTAAATTTTGATAAAGTCCATATTTTTTTTTTTATACTTTTAGTGTCTTGTCTAAGAACTCACCTAACCTTAGGTCCCAAAGATTTTCTCTATGTTATCTACAAAAGTTTTATAATTTTACATTTCACATCTAAACCTATGATGCATTTTGAGTTAATTTTAGATAAAGTTTATGTCGAGGTTTATATTTCTAATTATAGAGGTCCAGCCGCTCTACCGTCAGTTGCTGAAAAGGCTCTCCTTTTTTCATTTGATTATTTTTGTACCTTTTTCAATTTCTACAAAACTTCTATGCAGCTTTTATAACTATATCAGCTGACATAGTATGGGTATACTTAAAGAAAACTTCAAACATATTTTTGTGTATAATTGTCATATAGTCTCATAATTGACATTTCTCAAGCTGAATTCCTTTATCAAATCATTTGGGGAGGTTTTCTAAACTACCACGTAGCCAGAGGTGTTACAGGTAGGTGTCAGGTGTACTCAGCCACCTGTCTTTCGAAACAGCCTTTGTGGTCATTGTGGCAGACATCCGCTGCTGAGAGCCATAAATTTTACTTTTCATTACTCACCAATAGCTTCTAATTCTTTTTCAGTGAATCTAAAGTGATTTTGGTTCTTCAGGTTCTCCAATTCTATAAGAAAAATGTGGAATTGGTATAATTTAGTCTAAGAAAAGAAAGCAATGTGATAATTAAAAGCTTGTTTATGATATAAGTTGTGATTAGAAGGAATGGGGTGTTTAAACTTATATGCTATATCCTACCTGAAAAATAGAAGACCTTGTGATTAATATAGCAAAATTAAAAGTACAATCATAGTTGATTTGTTACGGTTGAATAAAACAGCTTATAAAATATAGAGCTTTTCTTCAAGGTAATTTATACTCATTTATAAAATTTTTCCTTTACTCTATGAATCTCTTATTTACTTTGTGAAATACGATTTATACATTATAATTTTCATTATAAGACTTGTCATAAAATAGCGGTAGCATTTTATTTATTTTTATTTTTATTTCTTTATTTTTTTTAAGTGAGGCAACCCTTGGTTGAACTCACAGATTGCAAGGACCTTGTCAGTTTATAATCCCTTATTTTTTATTTTTTTAAATTTTTTTATGCCTACAGCACCTGATCTTCCTAGGTGGTCTCCCATCCAAGTACTAACCAGGCCCGACCCTGCTTAGCTTCCAAGATCAGATGAGATCAGGCTTGTTCAGGGTAGCATGGCCATAGACAAATTGTGGTAGCTTATTAAAATCTGTTTATACTTGAAAATATATATTTTGGTATATAAATATATTTCTTTGTTTAAGATTGGCCTAAATTATTTCAGATCCTGAGTTACTAATGTTTTTATGGGAAGAAACATAATTCTTACTTGAGTACACTTCTCTGTCACATAAAACTCATTTTAATATAACATTTTCCTGGAAAGTACAAACCAGTTTGGCTATTTACAGTTGACCTACTTTTAAAATATATATCACATATTATTGTGACATTTTGCTTAATAAGCCTTATGAATTTTTAGCTCACTTGCTATGTATTTTAGTCATTTACAGGTGGAGGATACAGATTGGGTAATTCCTTTTGTAAGCGATCTGAATACATTTATGGAGAAAATCAGCTGCAAGATGTAGGTATAGTAATTAGAATGAAAAATTATAGATATTTGCCTCTAGTTAATACTGTTTGTTTTAAAGTTAAAAAATTATAATCAATAAGTATAATCTTTTTGTTTTATTACTTTAACATGGATTAAAAGGACTAATGTGTAAGTTTTCAGTATCAGATTTTATATTTTGCATCCCAGTTGTACCTTGCACTTAGAGATATGTAACTATTTGTTAATAGAATGTATGATTCACTGTAAAAATGAGCTTATATATATTATAATGATTATTATAAATGATGTACTGTCATAATATAGAATGAACTGAATTGTAAACATAGAAACACCTGAAGTCATTCTCTGTTTCTGTTGCCTTTTGAAATTTTGGAGTTATAACTTCATTTTAAACATGTGCAGTTTATCCTTGGAGGGTACTGGAAATCCTGTCCTGCCCCTTGGAAAGAATATGTAAGCTCTGTAGCAGAGAAGGTCCAGATGAAGGAGAAGGGTGGGTGTGGAGTGGCAGCTGGATGCTCACGTTGCTTTCGTCGCTTTCGTCTTCTCACTGAATTAGAAATAACTGTCCTTCGAGGCCACGGTCCAGCTGTGGGACCTTTGGTATTTTAGCCATTGTCCATTTGTAAAGCTAAATACAAATCTGCTTAGCAAACACACATGGTTTCATTTATACCTTTATTTTAACTATTAATAATGAATACTGTGAATAACTCCATGTTTTAAATTAAGTAAATGGTTTAATATGTTGTGATAATCACGTTTGAAACCTAAAATGATTTGATGCAGATGGATGTTTGTATTTCTTTATCTTTTTTTTCTATGCTCAAAAGGTTCAGATTTTGCTTAAATTGTGGAGCAATGGTTTCAGCTTAGATGATGGAGAATTGAGACCTTACAGTGACCCAACAAATGCTCAATTTCTGGAGTCTGTTAAGAGAGGGTAAGCTGGATTATTTGTATTCTATTCGTTACTTAAGGCGGGACTTTTTAACAGACTGCCATTCAGTAGTGCACTACTGGTTTTTAAGAATTATATTATATAAATGGTTCCTGGGGGGAGGGGTGAAGGGTATTTTTAAGTATATAAAGGACATGTTGCTATCTGTAAGTCACTAGTTCTCTTTTGTGGTGGGTGGGGGAATCTATAGACATTTGGTCTCTTTTCCCAACTCTGAGAAGAAATATTTTAATATAATAAATCAGTGAATCGATTAGCATGTAGCTGCCCATCCACTAAGCCACTGTCCTGCTTACTGTTGACAGGGTGACTCTCATTGCATGTATGCCTGAAATTGAGCAACTTATATTAGAAATCTTTTAAAGTGGCATTACTGCTGGCAGAAGATTTCAAAAGGTTAGTTTGAAGTTATAATTTATGAAAGTAAACCAGATACATAGTACTCTGACCCGTCTAAAGAACATCCTAACTCACTAGCTCTTCTTGCTAAAGGATGAGCTATTTCGATGAGCAATTCATGGTGAACTGGGAGATTTCAGTAGGGTCAAAGGACTAGAATAGGAGATTATATTCTATCCAGGAACTGAAGGTCGGGCTTTCCAAGTGATGAAGTATGTCCAAGGAGAGTGGCTGAAGTGGAATGGAGATGAAACGCATTAGCGTTGAGGCAGTGAAAAAACTGAAGGAAAGAAATTTTAGAACACTAATTATTAGCATGAATTTTGAATTTAATTCAACAAAGAAAATGTCACGATACCCAAAAAAGACAAGAAATGCTGTAAATGGTATGCTGAAGTCATCGAGAAAGGTGGGAAGCTGTCTTGGGAGACAGTACATGGTGAGTGGTAAAGACAAGGATATATAATAGTATAACAGTGCTGTGGACTTGAAAACCCGCAACGTCACTGCGAAGGAGCTGGGAGTGACTGCGTAGGGGACACATTCATCTGCTAAGCAAAGATAAACACTACTGTTGAAATTAATGCTTATTTCAAGATGGTGGAAGAAAATATATTGATGATGAATGTATAATAGATCAAAACATATATCAGGACAAATAGAGACTCATGGACATGGACTATAGACTAGTGGTTACCAGAGGGTAGGGTGGTTGGGGGAAGAGAGAGGTAGACAGGGTAAAAGGGATCAAATATGTGGTGACAGAAAGAAATCTAGCTATGGGAGGTGAACACACAGTGTAAACATATATGCCTTACTGTTAAAGTGTACAGCTGAAACTTACTGGATTTTGTTAACCAATGTCACCATAAAAAATTAATTAATTTTTTTAAAATTAAAAAAATATATAAGTGAAAATAATTTATAAACCTTGTAGGCTCCTGTTCACACAACCCTGTATACTAATTTTTTATTTTTAATTTGAGCCATATCATATCTAGGACAAAGTATGATCAAGAACAGTTTTAGAAAAGACTCTTTAAGAGAAATAACTAATATCAGATAGTGGTTGTTAACTGTGTATGATCATTGTCCTGTTTTTTAACAAGTATTTTGTAACACCACCTTCACTGTCCTCAAAGAAGAACTCATAGATGATACAATTTACATACGCATATTATTTCCAAAAAAATGATATAAATTTTATCTTAAAAATACTGAAGGAATAAAAGAAAGTATTTTTTATCATAAGGTTATATATATTCAGTTTATAAATAACCTGGGTACGACTGCACCAGAAGATGTAATGAAGTAGTCAGATAGTTTTCACCTGGATGCACTCTAGCACTTCTCATGTAAATGTGACAGGTATAAAAACAGAATAATGGGGTACACGAAGTTGGCAACTTCATTACTATAAATGGCATTGCAGTCAGGGATTTGGTAAAGTTCCAGACAAAACAAGGTGCCATCTTCCCTCCATTTATATGGAAGGTGGAAATTTCAAAATATATTAATATAATACAAAGAAAAAAATAGTTTTTGAGTTTTTGCTTATATGTAAGCAGACCCTAAGCCTTAGGTTTTAGGCTCAGACATTATGAACAGTGTTGTCATCCTGTGACTTGGGCATAGCAGTCAGTGTTTCTCTGGTTTCTCTGAAACCCTAGACACCCCTTCATTGTACAAGATGGCTCTCCCATGGCAGAGCATCTCTGTCCCCTTCCCTGACCCTGAGCAGCAGCTCTCATGAATCACATGACAGTCCAGAACACTCCTGTCAATTTTGAAAACTTCCTCCAGAAAGTTTAATAATAAATATCTGCATTAACTATTACATCTTTATAGGAATTTTCTAGTGCTAATTTAAGGTATGAACCTCTGCCTTACGATTTGGCTTTCTGGATGTCAGAAGCGCTTCAAGATCACTAATGACAACAAAACCCTACGTTGAGAATCACTAAGGAATAATGTGATGTAAGTTTAAGGAAGAAATATTTGCAGAGACTAATCAGTCATCACAGAAATTTTACATTATAATTCAAGCAGAAATTGCTGTTTTCCAGTGTAGCTCACAACTCAATTACAGTCAACAGTGTAGATTCATTTTTTTTTTAAAGTTAACTAAAACCGTTTTTCCCTTTTCAAAAGGGAGATTCCCCTGGAGCTTCAGCGACTAGTTCATGGTGGCCAAGTGAATTTGGATATGGAGGATCATCAGGATCAAGAATACATAAAACCCAGATTGAGGTTCAAGGCTTTTAGTGGAGAAGGACAAAAACTTGGAAGGTAAATTCCTAAAATGAGAAAAATACTTGTCTTTGTTCAACATGATTTTTCTTTGAGAATAAAATAGCAAAATAACCTAGAAAGTAAAACCTAAGACACAAACTGTAAAGACTGCTGATAGAATTAGATATGCAAAGCTGGTGATAATATTAGTAGCTAATACTTAGATATCAGTAACCACTTCCTAAGTACCTCACATACATTAATCCACTTACTTAATCTTCACAACAACTCTTCATGTAGATACTGTTATTCCATTTGCAGTTGTAGTATTTTGCCCAAATTGATTGAGTTGGGAACTGGTTAGCATGTGGGATTCAGAATAGGTACTCTGACTCTCTAGAGTCTGTGACTTTACGATTATGCCATCCTGCTTCTTTCTGATTATGTGGGTCCAAAAGGGAGAAATTATAAAGGGTTATTGGTCAGATAAAACAATAGATGTCTTAGATCATAGCTTTAGGTATGCCTGTCTGCCGTAAGTAATTGTTAAGTTCTTGCAGCAGGAGCAGTGTGCGTGTGAAGTTGGTTGTTTTCAATATATCTTAAACAGCCAAACCCGTTCTTCAAGTTATGGAAGCCCCGTATGGAAAACACACCAAACCCGAGCTCCTCTGGTTGCAGGACAAGGAGGAAATTGTCTTTGAGACATTTCCAAAGAACCTCTAGGACTTTGCTTAGCACAAATTAGAATCCAGTGCGGATGGTGCAATGCATGAGTGAATTCCTCTGTAACAGTCATGGCTCATAAGACTTCCTGAACCTTGTAAAATATGTCGGTTACCCTCTATTTGTCCACGTGTTACTACAGGTGACCTGTGGAATTGCGGCATTGGCCCTATTTGCAGTATAGCCTTTCGTGCATGCTTTGTTCCTTTTCATATGATTTCTTCCCTTTAAGTTCTTTTCAATTGCCTTGTGTGCACTGGTTCTCTGTTCCCCTCTCATTTCTCAGTATAGGAAAGACTTCAATATCGGTTCTTTATATTTGACTTTCTCGAGTCTCCATTTCTGTATCTTTTTCTGCTTTTACAGACCGATCTCTGGGACATGTAGGAAATACTTGAACATGTGTTGACGTGGGGTTTTTTTAGGACTCAAATCCTTCAATTCCCAGTCACAGGTCTGCTCGGAAATGTTCTTCCTCATCTCTCTTTGCTACCGACACAGGTCAGGCTTCTCCTGAATTATTCTGTTTCTTCTCTCCTTTTGTTTTTATAACTATGACCCCCCCGCCCCCAGAAATATTTTTTAAAAATATTTTTAGCACTTCTCATTTTTTTACTTAATATTTATTGAGATTATGATTTTTAATTAGAACACAGGTAAAACGCCCAGTCATCTCTTTTCCTTGTACATATTCTATTATTTAAATTTATGAGCAAGAATTGATGTTAGAATGCACACCTTTTGTTAGTAGAAGTACAGTAAATCTAGAAGTTGAAGAAGGTAGCATAAAGGAAAGATAGCTGAGAAGAACCAGTGATTATTTATAATCAGTAATTTCAGCTCATGAAAATAAGAATATTATCTGGTAATAGTATCTTAGAGAGGCTATCCTTTTTTTAAGGCAAAAAGCTAGAGGAAATGACAAAAAAAATGACAGAGGAGAATAACAAAGATTAGGGGTGATAATGCTCTGTTACTCTCTAGCCACATTGGTTAGGGTCTTTGATTGTAGAAAATGGAATCTGCTTGCTAGTTTAAATAGTAAAGGGTTTCTTGCATAGCCTTGGATGCATTACAAATTTCTGAAAGAGATAGCAAACCAAGCATCTTAGAGAAACAAATAAATACAACAGGAAACTTTCTAGAGAAAACACCTCCTGTGTCCCCATCACTTTGCTCAGTCCCCTTGAAGCTAGGGACCAGACACTAGAACATTCCATTATACCTGCTCAAGAATAATCAGGTGCCCCCAGCACCTTGGTAACCAGAAGAGCCGTACAGCTCCCACTTCCAGTGCTTGATTCCAGTTCATATGTAGTTGTTTTCGTTTTAATTGTTTGCTTAGTAGAAGAGTGGAAACAAAATTCTAGCTGCAAGGGAGTCTGAGCAGTGTACTCTTTAGAATTTTCAGCTTCTGATGTGTAGGAGATTTACACTTGGAGATTAGTGTTGTGAGCCTGTATGATGAACATGAATCCAAATATTGAATAGTCGAATATATATTCTAAGAAAGCAAAGAATTGCATAGAACACTTTAGAAGACATTAAGAAATATATTGAAATATAAAAGTTATAATGGTCAACATTTATCAATTCAGAAAGTAACTTTCTACAATGGCACATTTCCTAAGAGTTCCACACAACTATTTACTAAACAGAGAAATAATTAAAAAGAAGCAAACAAAGCAGAAATGGAAATAATCCCATTGTCTTCCATAGCTGTGGCAGTCTAATTGCAAACAGAACATTACATAGATAGAAACTAACCTAATTATTTGTGACATGCAAATAATTATGGGGTAAACCTAAATGTAATAAAATATTAACCAGTACCCTCAGTTTATATAATAGGGGCAAGCAAGTCATGGGTGTAAAACTGCAAAGTTACAATGCTAGAACAAATGATACTATTTAATAAAAATTAGCTTAGTGAGCTAGAGCAGATGCAAGACGAGCAAAATCCTAAGAAGATTACAGAATCATTTTTGATACGCAGGGCTCACAAGCATTCACTGTAGGCTTTTCACCTTATGTGTATGAAGATGAAAATCATGATGCGAAGTACGTCTCTCTTTCTGCCTAAGAACAGTCACTGTTTGTCCTCCTTTAATCCAAGAAGATTGATTCCCTTTGCTACTCTTGCTCGTTCCAGCCACCATACCTGCGGCTTGACTTCATCTTGGTCACTGGACCCTTGAGGACTCTTTTTTCTAAAGTCCGATGGCCCCTTCTTCCCTGCCTTTTCTTCATTTCCTTATCCCAGCAATTCTGCTGTCCCTTGCCTTACCGTACGGCCCCTGGATTTGTCATACTCTGTGCAGTTCAGTGCCACGGGGTGGTCGCACACCCGTGCTGGGCAGGCAAGCCACGCCTCTCCCATTCTCAGAGAACATTCCCTCTGTTCCTTGCTTTCCCTAAGCCTCCTGTTCTACCCCTCCCATCCCAGCGGATGTGTTCTCAGCTTCACTGAGAAAATAGAGCCTGATAAGAATTAGCTTTCTTAATATATTCCCCCAGACTCTAGGTTTATTAAAATCATTCTTACCTCCTTTTCAGTCTGAAGATGCTTCTCCTCCTGTCCGAGGGAATTGCTCTGCTTACAACCTATATCCATCCTTTCCTCCAGTTTGCCTACCTCATTTATCGATTCCGTCTTTTACTTTCTTAAAATTTTCTTTTCAACATAATACTTGAAACATACATACAGTATATTAGAAATGTCACTGTGGTTTGATCACTCGAATGATGAGGAGGTTTTAAGCAGCAAAGTGGTGTGAGTTGAAGGCTAAATATTAAAGTTAACATAACTTTAAAATATTATTTTATATTTTACATTAAGTTAATTTAATGCTGATATGTGCAAAAATAGCTGGCACTTGAAACAGCGTTCTGGGACGTCCTGGGGCAGGCGTCCCTCTTGTTACTGCGCTTTGCTCTGTTGCTCTTCACGTATGTTACATTTTTTACAAATCGAAGGCAGGACCCTCTGGTAGAACAATTGCGACTTGCTGTATTGCAGAGTTTGCTTTATCGTGGTGGTCTGGACCCAACCCTGCAGTATCTCTGAGGCGTGCCTAGAGAACACACCTTCATAATATAGTTTTATTTCTCCCTATTTTATAAATGATAGAACTGGGATTCAAAGAGGTTAATTTGCTTAAGTTTACTCAATTAACATAGCTGGGATGTGAAACCAAGTCTGTCTGTGCTCCTAGTCATTCTTTAACATTAACTCAAAGTCATTTCTATTTCTGACTAAAGACTTATGCTAAACAGTCTCATGAAATCTCAAAGGGATAAAGAATGCAAAGTTAGACTTTGGAAGAGATTGGATAATCTAAATAAGGAATCGTAGAGTCCGGAACAATTATAATATAATGAAAGAGGTTTGAAGAAGTATAGGAGACTCAAAGGAAGTTTTTGCTAGTCCTGAAGCCATACTGGAGATAACTTGAGAATCAGGTATGAGTCTAAGTGGTTATTCCACTGCCTTGAGTTTGTCATATGTCTTATCTATTCAGATTTGTGTTCTAATTCTTTAATTCTTCTTTCTTAGCCTTACACCTGAAATTGTCAGTACACCTTCCTCCCCAGAAGAAGAGGATAAGTCAATATTTAATGCAGTTGTTCTTATTGATGATTCAGTGCCAACAACAAAAATTCAAATCAGGCTGGCAGATGGGAGTCGTTTGATACAAAGATTCAATAGTACACACAGGTAAGCTTCTAGTTTGCTGTTACACACTTGGTTAATTATCTGTGTAAAGCTATTTGTGACCTTAGTAATGAACATGAAATTCTTTAGATTTACAGTATGTTTTTGACAGAAGAAAAATCTTTTGAAAGGGTAATAGCTATTGTAAGAAGTGAAATACTTGGTATTTAAACATCCTCTATAAACTGTCCAGATACAAATGCAAATCCAGATATCACTCAAAAAAATAAAGAAAATAGTGCAGTTTTGCACTATTGTTACAGCCATGTAAAGTGGAATCAGATTTAATTTAATATAGTAAAACCTTATTCAGTCTTTATTCATATAAAATTTATGGTAGTTCTAATTGGAATTAACTTTCTACATAGCAGATCTAATATAAATTTGTAGTGTAAAGTTTATTTGTGTTATTATCAAACACTTCAAATAAACCATTTTACATATCATTTTAACATTCACTCATATATAGACATTTAATAAGATATTATTTTAATTTGTTTATTGTATTCCTCTAAGGGATACATTTATGATCTTAGTTGAGTTACTATGTATAGTTGAAAGTAATTTTTAAAAATTATTCTTAAGACTTTTTGTAGTTTCAGACTCACTTTGACACAGGCCTATTCTAGGTACCTTTTTCTGGATCACGTGCTGCTAAAATATTTTATACTCTGAAAAAAGCAGGACTTGCATTTTCAGTGTAATAGCATGGTTGACATTTATTTTGTGCATAACTCATCTGAAGTTTGTGTGTTTTATAGTAAAAGATATTAGATACATTCCAAAGTCAATCTTCACATTTTATCTTAAAGCTCAGGTAAAACCATCTATTGAAATAGTGTAAATTAAAGAAAGTTACAGCACATTTAACTAAGGATGAGAATTGTGTAATTCTTATCTAATTTTAGCTAAAAGCTTACATGGCCAAAAAAGCTTCTGTGTCACAAATTATTTTTGTCTTATTTCGCAGGATCCTGGATGTTCGGGACTTTATTGTGCAGTCCCGCCCTGAATTTGCAGCTCTTGACTTCATTCTTGTGACATCATTTCCAAACAAAGAGCTAACAGATGAAAGCCTGACACTACAAGAAGCAGATATTCTTAACACCGTGCTACTCCAGCAGCTAAAATAATATTGCTCCTATTCATGCAGTAGCATGTAGGAAAGAAAAGGTGCCATATGAATAAGGAAAACACTTAAAACAGCATAAAAAATTATTTTTATTATTTATATGGATACATTTTAGTGTGTCCGCCAGCCTTCTTTTAGATGATTTTGGACTAGGAATAGATCTTGAGATAAATAACGGTTGAGTTTTTAGTTGTAGGGCTGGCTTTTGTCAATAGCTTTTAAATGTCCAAGCAAATCCATTTGTTACATGCTCAGTGTTCATGTAACAACATTGTTGACAGAGAAAATGAACAAACCTCATTTTGATAAAAGCATTTGGTAAAATTTGCACTAAAGTTTCTTGATGCTGCATTGATCAAGAGCCGTTAAGAAACTTTCCGATCAAATATTTTGAAAATTTTTCTGTGATACGTACTGAAAAGTATCTGTATTCCGATTTTATTAAGCATCCTTTTTACTTACTGATTTAGCTGTTTTACTGTATCAAAAAATAGTTCAAGCCTTGTATTTTATAGAACTGTGACCATCATAAACTAGAAACAGAGACATCAGGGTCAACAGTTCTTGAGAAGATGTGGTAAACAGCACTTTAAAATAGAAGAATTACAATCTCTCCTAGAGCCTGCCTTGATCACATTCATTTATTCATTCAACACATTTTTCTAGGGGGCCTGCTATATAGACTAAATTCCGTTCTAAGTATTCAACCCAGAAGGTATTCTACTCCAGGACAAAATGAGTGTAGAAATATAAGAATGTAAATTCTGTCAGGCAGACTGGATCTAAAGAATGACCAGCGTAAATATTTGCATTTCTGCTGAAGCCAGGTATGTCCTGAATGAGGCAGGCTACATCAGCAATGATAGAAAAGCTTTTCTTCTTTCCTCACACCACTTCATCTTTGGTCACCACTCCTGGTTAGTTTTCTGTTGCTACTATTACAAATTACTGCAAACCCTGGCTTTATAATAGTACAGATTTATTATCCTCTATAGGTTAAATATTCAACATGGGTCTCACTGGGCTTAACGTAAGGTGTTAACAGGGCTGCATTTCTTTTGGGAGACTGCACGAGAAGCATTTCCTTGCATTCCAGGTTCTAGAGGCCGCCTGCATTCCTTGGCTTGTGGCCCCATTTCAGTCTTTAAAGCCAGCAACGTTATATCTCTGCCCCTCGTCACATCTCTGTGACAACAGCCAGGAGAATTTCTCTGCTTTCAAGGACTCATGTGATTAGATTGTGTCCACCAGGTAATCCAGGATTATCTCCTCATCCTAAGGTCTACAGTAACCTTAACCACATCTTTAAAGTCCCTTTGCCATAAAGTGACATGTCATTGGTTCCTTCTGGAGGCCACAGGGTGAATCTGTTCTTTGCCTCTTCGGCTTGTGCAGGCTGCTGGTAACCCTTCCCTTAGTCTGTCTCCCTCCAATCCCTGCCTCTGCCCTTAATCTTTTACTACCAACTTTGATTTTCCTCCTTTTCTCTTACAAGATCCCTTGTGGTTGATTACATTTAGTTTACCTAAATAATCCAGGATAATCTTTTTACCTCAGAATGCTTAATCACATCTGCAAAATTCATAGGTTTGTGTATTAGATATTGAGCATTTTGATGGACCATTCTATCTATCATAGTTTACTCCTGCCTCAAAAGCCCACATCTGTCCCCAATAAAATCACCCCATTCAAAGGGCCTCAGAAGTCTCAACCTTTTATAGCATCAACTTAAAATGCAAAATCTTATCATCTAAATCAGGTATGATAGGCTATGGTATAATGCTTGGGACAAAATTCCTCTCCATCTGTGCACCTGTGAATCTAGAAAACCTATTATTTGCTCCCAAATATGAAAATAAGACAGGCATAGAATAACAGTTATAGACATTCTTGTTAAAAAAAAAAAAAAAAACTAGAAAATGAAATGAAAAAATGAATCTCAAGTGCCAACAATTTAGATCAGCCAGGCTCACTCCGGTAGGTTTCAGAGTCTGGGAGTAGCCTGGTTCACAGCACTGTCCTCTGTGCTTGTGACGCTCTCCTAGTCCTTCCTGACTTTCATGGAAGGTAGCACCCGTCTGTAGCTGAATGGTTTTGCCAGCGTGTTTCTTGCCTGTGGAATTGTGGGAGACCCAATGATCTTTCATGTCATTCTTTCTCTCTTAGTTTAAGATGGCAATGTCTTCTGGTATAACATTTTCAAAAACCTTGTGGATCTTCTTTGTATGTTAGAGGAATTCACTCCACAGAGGCTCCTCCACAGTTTTCCCTTGGATAGTCCCATCTATTTTTTGGCTTTTTCTGAGGTGGCTGAGAGGATCTATAAGTCACACCCTTAATCTGTCCCATTTGTGTGACTAAACACTCAGGCCTTTTTGATCTTTCTCAGGTATTAGCAAGGGGTTGAACAGCACCCTCAGCTCTTTCCTTAGAGCAGGCTTTCCTAACAGGCAATCTCCCTCAATTTATCTGCTCCCCCTACCCCTCCACGCCGCCATTTCACTAAGAAGGAGCAGGCTGCGCCTTCCAACTTTGCTTAGAAATCCGTAGCCCAATATCTTAAGTCTACCGCTGTGACTTCCGCTTCCTAAATAACTTCAGGGCGCAATTCGGCTAAGCTTTTGACCACTACACAGCTGTAACCCCTTTCCCTCCCATTTCCTTCCGAGCCCTCGCAGCACTTTTGATGTCCTTACTTCTGCTAAGTCTGCTTAGACAATTTGGAGATTCTCTATGACAATTGTTGTTTCTACCTTGCTCCTTTTCCAGCCCTCACCAGCATTAACACCCATACATCTAATAGTATTCGAAGCAATCTCGGCTTTTTCTGTCATGCTCCTAAAATCTTCCAGCCTCTACACACACCCCAGTTCCAAAAGCCACTATAGGTATTTTTTACTGCAGCCTATTTCCAGGTATCTAGAAAACTCTTCTGTGCCTACTCACTGCCAATTGACTTGAATGTGCCAATAGATTTGGAATTACCTTCCTCTGGAGGCTCTGGTTGGAGGCAGTGGGCTACCTATAGCAGGGGTTTTAACACTGGGAGCGCTACCAGAACTGCCACAGGATCAATCCCACTACCGCAAAGAAAACGTTTTAGTGTCGTAATGTAGACTACGAAGATTATTCCTAAGTCTTCCCCTCAGAATGGGAAACCCTGTTCTTTTCTACTGATTGAAAACAACTTGGAGAATATAAAAATAATAGTTCAAAAAGTCAATCTCAGTTCAAAAAGAGACCAGGGATATACCACATTTTCATTTTCACAGGAGCAAAATCATCTTCCTAAAGAAATAATCTACTGAAACAAATGAAATAAAATAAAAGGGCAATGCCCTGTTTTACTAAACCCTGTAAAATTATTTGGCCTTTTGTAGTTTCTTTTTATCGATTAGGTGGCGTGCCTGTAGATGCACATCCAAAACGAGAGCCATTTTTGTGTATAAGTCTGCCAAAATACAGAAATTTAAACATCAGAAGGGATGAACAAAACTGTCACACGAACTACATTTTTCTTCACTTAGAGTCATTTTTCTGACGTTACTACTGCAGTCACTGTAATTTTTTTAAATCTGTAATCACCTCAAAAAAAATTGTCACAGTGAGCAGTTAGACAACCAAGTGTGAGGTCAGTTGTTTTGCATGATGTATGTAATCAAGAAGTTTTAAGCGTCTGCTTCCCAGTAAATGTTTTCACTGGCACTCATTGAAAATCCTTTTCAAAATGTCCTTGATTTACAGTTTTATTTGAGTGGCTTAACAGAATATTTTAAGCATGAGTAACATTTCCTGTGATTTAATTTCCTGTGGTGTACCCTTTTTGGTGAGCAAAGAAACAACTGAGTTGTAGCAATGTTATCTCGATTTCCTAATACTGTTTTGTTTTTATTCCACCAAAATAAAGTTGCAGATTTTTCTTAACTTTTTGCTAACAGTGGATTTCTGAAAACCTTATCACAACTTGTTTTTGTCCTGATCGGTAATACAAAAAATTCAATGGAGAATATTGGAGGATCTCATTGACTTTATTGAGCAGTTTATAAACCAGGCAGCATCTCATCTAGCAAGCAGAGATGAGCTGCAAAGGGCTCCAAAAAGGGAAAGCTTTTTAAAGAGAAGACAAGTCATAATGAAGATTTTTTCAGGTTTGGGTAACCTACCTCCCCATGGGCGATGAGAGAGGTCTCTGGCAGATTACTTCATCTTTCTGTGAACATAAAGGGACTATGTAATAAACCTGACAAGCTCAGTGACCAAAAATAGCCACACAGGATGGTCTAATCACAAATTCTGAACTGGTACACCCGTCGGAACTAGCACTTCCTTAGCAAAGGTCAATTTTTACCTTTAGTGAGCCCTGCATCTAGGATAGAGGACCTTTGAAGTGTCAGTAATTTTCTAAACCCCTGAGGGCACAACAGCAGGCACCAGAGCACAAGGCCATGAGAGCACAAGACCACCGAAGCCCTCACTGCCTTGCTCCCCAGCATACCATCTCTGCTGTAAATGTTCAGGATTAACTCTCCTGTACCCACCAATGTAAAAGAAGCGTTTCTCCGTTTTGCTTTTTATCTGGTCCTAGAGATTTCCCCACTTTGCTTCCTCCCACCTCCTCCATCTATCACCAGTAGGCTTCTTGTGCCTTCCCTAGGTTTTCTCCTTTGATTCTAAATGCATAAACGAAACTGCAGAACTGCTGTTCTTCAGAGCGTTCTCTCAATCTGTTGAGATCTTGCTTCCAGGTCCGTCCTCAAATATTTGGCAAAGTAATGTCAGATTTAACAGTTCCTGGAGTGAAGTAGTCATTTTTACTTAGTCTAACTATATGCAAATGAGTGTTTCGTGTATGAATAACATAAAATACATGATAATATCAAGACTAAGAGGTCTCCCCCCGGCCCCCGAAAACCTATTATAAATGTTTATAATGTAAATAAATGTTACTGTTTGAAATATTGTATACATAGGTTTCTATGGCAACTCAGACTAATCCAACTTTATATTTTTAATGTTAAGCTTATGTGTGCTTCATTTGCAATAAGGAGATAACCACTTGGGTTTAACATTGAGGGCTTACTATGAGCAGAATCCTATGTTTGGCAGGTAGCATGTTTCTTATGGCCAGTGTCACTGTACAGTTTGGCATTCCGACCTCAGCTTATATGTGGTTTCTACAGGAAGCCTTCCCTGATGCCCCAGTCTAAACTCATCCCCTGGTCTCTCAGTCACACTACCCTGATTCTGAAGTATTAACTATATCTGATATTTTTTAAATTTCTTTGACTTTTATCCCCATCTAACTTAGACACAATCTTTCCCGTTCCCCCTGTCAAATGACAAAACGATTTAGTTTGATGCCATGGATTGAGTGGGTACAATGCCTCACAAGCACTGGAGCACTGTCCCCAAGGGATCTGGAGCAAGAGAGAGTTTTATAGAGCGTAGGAAGAGGCAACCTGGAAATGGCGTGATTGGCTAGGAGGTTAGATTTTCTTGGTGGGTATTTCCCAGAAGTTCAGGCAAATTTAGGTTTAGATTTGTGTTGGGCCACTGAGGAGGCTTCCATTTTGTGACTCCTTCTGTGTGAATTAACTATCTCATCAGATTCTCAGAATGCGAGTTTGTGAGAGCATGGATTTTTCTTATCCAATGCTATATCTTTAGAGCCGAAACAGTACCCTAAATGTAGAAGTTGCCCAGTAAATAGTTAACAAGTAATAAATCACTGAATTAAGAATGGAACCCTCTGAACACTGGAAGAATATATGCATTCATGTTTTAAAAATGGGAGATTCAGAATAGCACCAACGGAGTTAATGGCGATAGAAAACATTTGTACATTTCCATTTGGTTTTAAAGGAAGAAGAAGAGTGTTCTGGAAGTGGCAGCCTTGGTTTATTTCCAGAGTGGTAGGCCCTGTACCTGTAAGTGAATGGTTCTGGTGGTTCCTCATGGTAATGTGCGTGAAGAAGGCTTAAGAGTGGTCCTCCCGAGAAGCTAACAGTACGTAAAATACCTGGGATTGTCTGGATTCCAGGAGTAGGTGCTATGATTCTAGAAGTCTAGAGTTAAGGAAGAACCCTGTTCTTTGAAGACATGGTAGAAACCACTCAACCTGTTAAGTTCTATCTGATTACTCAGAAAAGTATGCTGGTCACTTGTCATATAATCTGATTGCTTATAATAGGAATTTCTTATAGGTTTTACCTTTATATCAGAATTAAAATACTGTTAGCCTTATAATAACTTATTTTTATTAATTACACATAATTAAAAATTTTAATCATGGATGTTTTATTTTAGAATGTCATACCTCATCATTATTTATTACTTTGACATTGGTAACTCCAGAAAAGCATAAGTTGATTTAAAGAAATTTAATCACAATAAATCGGGAGTGTGGTAAATACATGTAAACACCTTTGTAAAATGAAAAGCTACAGAAAGATGATACTAGAGGACATATATTTCTGTTAAGTCAAGAGCATATATACACACACACACACACACGCACATACACATATATATATATGTATAAATATATATGAGTTACACATACAAAGTTACATGTATAAAGTTACACATGAAACTCATACCTTTGAAATCAAACTAGTTTGAGGAGCTGTTGACTTTGGCCACACTCTCAATTGGCTGAACTTATAAAGAAAATTCTCACTGGTCATTAGATATTGTTCTTGTCATCTAAATTAACTTCATTACCCAATCTTCCACACAGGCAAAGAAGGCAGAAATGACCTGGAGTTATCGATTTCCAAATAACCTTGTAAACAGACAACGATATCTACAAACGTATGAGTTTCGGTGCTCTTCTTGAAATTATTTTTCAGAAAGATGATGTTATAAAATTCTCCTAATTTTGGTGTTTCTTAATAGCAAACTTTTATGTAAAAATACATAACTAGTATTTAATTTTCAAAAGTTTTTTTTTTTAAAAAACATTGTAAGTATAAATCTGAAGGATATTTGACATTAAAAATGGCACTAACGCCTTTAATAGTAAATGATTAGGGACTCTTTACATCCAGACCTTGAAATAAGAAACGACTTGACACATAATTACATCCACAGGCATTGTAATTCTTTTGTTTTAGATGTAATAAAAATAGCAAAGAGATGAGTTTTAATTCCAAGTCATGCCCTGCCTCAGTGTGTGTGGCATATATTCATTTCATCTGATCTCAGATTCAGATGACCACTGAATGATTACAAACTGTATTTATTTTTTATTTTTCTAAATTATTTTTTAATAATTTAATGTGTTAGTGAACATAAAATTAGAAAAGGTGTTTGCATTTCTAGAGGTTTTTAAATTTTATGACTCAAGTTTTTCACTTCATACCCGCCTGTAGTCCACTAAGTCCCTAAGTCCACTTTTATGGGTGGTTCTCCAATCAAACTTAAGGTCCTACTAAGTAATTTCATTTAAGTGTATAAAAGCACATTTGGTTACTTCTTTATTCTTCTTGCTACAAACTATAGTGCTTACTTTACTTGTAGGATATATGCCAAAATATCTAAAAATCTTCATACTGTATGTATATGGGGGTTGAGAGTAGTGATTTTATTGGTTTGTTTTCTAATCAAACATATAATGTCTCCAACCAACACCTAAACTTTCACTTCAGTTTTGTTTTTCTGCCTTTCTCTTCTCAGATTGTCTTTTCTCTTCTT